CCGCTTGGTGTGGCAGCGCCTTCTCCTGCTGCAGTGAGTGGCGAGGCCTTGTGCCTGAGCATAGACATCCCAGGCTTCCTGACATTGGCATGGGCAAACATCGAAGGGTTGCTCCTACTCTGAAAATATGTGTACTACAAGCCCAGTGTGGCACACACCTGTAATCCCAGGCCTCTGGGAGGCAGAGGGAGGAGGATTATAAAATTAAGTCCAGCCTGAGCAACTTGGTGAGACGCTGTCTCAAAAAAGAACTGGGGATATAGCTCAGTGTGCCCTGGCTTCAATCCCCAGTACCACCAAAAAAGGAAAAACAAACATGATTCCAACGTGGAATCATCTGCTGTCCTGTTCCACACACCCTGCTCCATATCCTTGGGTAAAGGGTGTGGGGGATCGGGATCTGGGCTTCATTGAGCCTCTTTCCTGCAGGTGGCATGAGGTATTTTTTAAAGTGAAGAAAACCATCGGGGATGCTCCAGGTGGACCGCCCAGCGCTTACTTAGCCGACACCATGCATACCTCCTTGTACATGGTAAGGCTTGGTAGGAGCCAACCAGGTAACGGTGCAGACAGAGTCAGACCTAACACTGCCCCGCCCTCTTGTAGGTAGGCTCTACCCTGAGCCGAGTGCCCGCATGCCCTTCTGGAGGGCCTGGTCTCTGGAGCAGCTTATCCCCCCCTGGCCTGGAGCCTTTGGTGACTGCACTCTGTGCTGCTCTGAAGCCTCGTCTGCAGCCAGGGTAAGTGAGGTCATGCCACAGGCTTTGTCCTGCTCAGGCATGAGACAGCCAGAAGGGGGTTCTTAATGCTCTGCCCAGATTTGGGTCTCCCAGGTACAGGGACATAGGCTCCTGGCCTGCTCTGTTCTGTAATAGACTGCCAGGTCCCTCCTGGTCAGTATGGGGGAAGGTCCTTCACCTAGGCAGCAGTCTTTGGGACCGCCATGCCCTTGGGCACACATTGGCCAGCCTGGCCCTGAGGTCATAGCATCCGGCAATAAAGACCCAAGTATTGATCCAAACCCGTCTGTGCCACTCAACACTGTTGAGATGAGCCCTCCTTGCTGGGGATTTAGCTCAGCGGCATAAGCACCTGCCTTGCAAGCAGGCGGGTATGAGTTCGATCCCTGGTAGCGATGAAAGAAAGAAAAGAAAGGAAGGAAGGAAGGAAGGAGGGAAGGAGGGAAGGAGGGAGGGAGGAGGGAGGGAAGGAAGGAAGGAAGGAGGGAAGGAAGGAAGGAAGGAAGGAGGGAGGGAGGAGGGAGGGAAGGAAGGGAGGAGGGAGGGAGGGAAGGAAGGGAGGAGGGAGGGAAGGAAGGAAGGAGGGAGGGAAGGAAGGAAGGAAGAAGGGAAGGAGGGAGGGAAGGAAGGAAGGAAGGACGGACGGACGGACGGGCCCTCCTAAAGGCACAGCTGGCCGCAGGGCACTGGTCTGGCTGAGGGGTATGCCCCATACCCTTGCCAGAGCTTCAGAGGTCTCACTGTATGGAGAAAGATAGGGCCAAGAGTCCCTGTGACAGGGACTCTAGAATGGGTCTGTTCTGTTTACAGCGGTGTTCTGCTGACAGGCACAAGCTGTGTCCTTCTGCGGGGCCCCCCAGGCAGTGGGAAGACCACTGTGGTGGCCGCTGCCTGCAGGCGCCTTGGGCTGCACTTGCTGAAGGTGAGGGTCCCTGGCTGGCCCCCGGTTCGGACTCCTCCTCTCCCCTTTCCAGGCGTGTTCCCACAGAGTGGAGATGCACAGTCCTTTCAAGGAGGTGGGCAGGAAGCGGGGAGGGCAAGTAGAGGTGGGTCCTGATCACCACTCTGGTTTCACGCAACCACGTCTTCCAAAGACAGCTGTGTATCCCAATTCCTCTGCCCTTGTCCCCGTCATGCCGGTCACACAGACCCTTGGTACCCTCCCCCCAGGTATCCTGCTCCAGCCTCTGTGCAGACAGCAGTGCGGCCGCAGAGGCAAAGCTGCAGGCTGCCTTCTCCCGGGCCCGCCGCTGCCGGCCTGCCGTCCTGCTGCTCACAGCTCTGGACCTGCTGGGCCGTGACCGCGACGGGCTGGGTGAAGACCCCCGCGTGGTAGCCACACTGTGCCACCTCCTCCTCAATGAGGACCCCACCAACAGGTGCTCCCCCAGCGCTGAACCCAGCCTTCCTCGTGTTTGCCACACCCCAGCGCTTCTCAGAAACCCCACTCGGGTGTTGAGGAGGATGTGGCTGCGCATTTCTTGGTGGTGCTGGGTTGACGCAAACGTGCAATGTGTGCCCTCTGTGTGCTCCCATGGTGGGGGGCGCAGGCTCCCCCATCCCTGCCACCCCACTCCCCTTACCCGCAGTCCCATGCCGCCTCCAGCTGCCTTCCACTGATGGTTGTGGCCACCACAAGCCGGGCCCAAGACCTGCCCGCCGATGTGCAGACAGCATTTCCTCATGAGCTGGAGATGCCCGTGCTATCCGAGGGCCAGCGGCTCAGCATCCTGCGGGCCCTCACTGCCCACCTGCCCCTGGGTCAGGAGGTGAACCTGTCACAGCTGGCCCGGCGGTGTGCGGTGAGTACCCCACAGGGACCAGGGCAGATGCCAAGAGCTGCTGCTCTCCATGCCTGCTCAGGTTCCTTCTGTGGCTCCCTAGGGGTTTGTGGCAGGGGACCTGTGTGCCCTTCTGACCCACAGCAGCCGGGCAGCCTGCGCCAGGATCAAGAGCTTAGGGTAAGAGAGGGTGAGAGTGGGCACTGGACAGGGAAGGTGGCTGGGGAGGAAGGGAAGGGAACAGTACCGCTCAGGGAGTGGCCTTTCAGGAGAACCTCAGCTAGCCCGTTTCTCTGCAGTTCAGGGGGCAGCCTGAGTGAGGAGGACGAGGTGGAGCTGTGTGCTGCCGGCTTCCCCGTCCTGGCCGAGGACTTCGGGCAGGCGCTGGAACAGCTGCAGACAGCTCACTCCCGGGCTGTGGGGGCGCCCAAGGTGGACCCTCCCCACCCCATGCTTGGAGCCTTGGAGGAGGGGCACATCTCCCCCACATGCACACCCCAACCTTATGCTCCTTTCCCCCAGATTCCCTCAGTGTCCTGGCACGACGTGGGTGGGCTACAAGAGGTGAAGAGGGAGATCCTGGAGACCATCCAGCTCCCCCTGGAGCACCCAGAGCTGTTGGCCCTGGGCCTGCGACGCTCTGGCCTTCTGCTTCATGGTCCCCCAGGCACCGGAAAGACCCTGTTGGCCAAGGCAGTGGCCACAGAGTGCAGCCTGACCTTCCTTAGGTGTGTAAGTTGGTGAGGGAGTTGGGAGATGATCGACTGCCCGCAAGGCAGCTGTGCCCAGCTGACCACTCACTCACACAGTGTGAAGGGGCCGGAGCTCATCAGCATGTATGTGGGCCAGAGCGAGGAGAATGTGCGGGAAGGTGAGCAGTTGAGACAGCCTCCCGCCCTCCCTGGCCCCACCCCCAGGCACGGCATCCCCTCCACGGTCAGGCCACTGCCCAGCTGAGTGTGAGCCCTAGAGGGCCACACCCTGGCTTTCTGCCCTCCCTGAGCCCCTTGCTCAGTGTTTTCCAGGGCCAGGGCTGCTTCCCCGTGCATCATCTTCTTTGACGAGCTGGACTCCTTGGCTCCAAGCCGGGGACGAAGTGGAGACTCTGGAGGTGTGATGGACAGGTGGGCCCACGAGGAAGATGGGAGATACCTGTGGCAGTCTGCAGACCACAGCCCAGGAAAGGAAAGCCCTGGCCTTTGGCTTCTGGATAAAACCATAGAAGCCGAAAGCAGCCTTGGAGGAGTTGGACCTGTAGTAGCAGAATAGGGTGGTCGTGCCTCGTGGGTAGGAGTGGAGCCTGAGGACAGACCAGGGACTTAAACCTCACTCCCTCCCCTGCAGGGTGGTATCTCAGCTCCTGGCCGAGCTGGACGGGCTTCATAGCACTCAGGATGTGTTTGTGATCGGAGCCACCAACAGACCAGACCTTCTGGACCCTGCCCTTCTGCGGCCTGGCAGGTGGGCATGAGGACTGCGCATCTCCACCTGCCCTACTGAGGCCCTCCCCCATTAAGTACCTTTGTCAGCCCTTGTGACTGGTCCCCTGATGCTTTCACTGCCTGTCTCCCTAAGATTTGACAAGCTGGTGTTTGTTGGGGCGAGTGAGGACCGAGCCTCCCAGCTGCGTGTTCTGAGCGCCATTACCCACAAGTACGCCCTGGACCTGGGGTGACTGGGGGACACGTCCTGTGTGTAGGACAGCTGCTTAGTGCTGGGCTGTGTGGGAGGGAGGGAGGGTGGAGACACCAGTGGGAACAAGTGTCTTCTACCCACAAACAGGTTCAAGCTTGAGCCCTCGGTGAGCCTGGTGAACGTGCTAGACCACTGCCCGCCCCAGCTGACAGGAGCAGACCTCTACTCTCTCTGCTCTGATGCCATGACCTCTGCCCTCAAACGCAGGGTTCATGACCTGGAGGAAGGTGAGCCACTCGCAGCCCCAGAGCTCAGCCAGGAAGCCAGTGCGGACACCTGAGGTCTCAGCAGGAAGGTCCCTTTCCCAGCCTTACTCCCTCTCGTCCCCTGTAGGGTTGGAGCCGGAGAGCTCTACCCTGTTGCTCACCATGGAGGACCTGCTACAGGCCGCTTCCCGGCTCCAGCCCTCTGTCAGCGAGCAGGAGCTGCTCCGGTACAAGCGCATCCAGTGCAAGTTCGCTGCCTGCTAGGAGCCATCAGATGCTGGGACCTACCCACTGTGGCCAGAGGTACCTACGGGGCTCCTGAGAGGCCCGTGGGGAAAGGGCTCTGGGATCTGCCTCCCCCTGGGTGCAGAGGTGTCAGAGCCCCAGCACACGTTCAAAGCTATCTCCTGCTTTTTTCCACGCCAGCGGGACACTGCCAGCTGCTCAGGAAGCCTAGTCCCAGGAAAGCCCCGAGGCCTGTTTTGCAGCGGAAAATAAAGTGTGTACTGCCCCCTGCTGGTGATGTGGGAGCTGCATGGGAAGAGCGCAGTGGTCCTGACAGAAACACAGGCAGGGTGTTGATAGGCACAGGCTGTATTGTTCTGCCCCCTTTGCTTGAGCCACATTGCTGCTCCCGGGGCCATGTTCAGCCTATCCTCTTGAGCACATGGATGAAGTAGCAGGGGACATAGGCCTGGTCCGGCCTGTAGGGCTTGAAGTCACCCAGGATGCTGTGTTGGCACTTGCCCCCGAAGGCTCCTTGGAGCAGCTCTGTGAAGGAGGCCAGGCGGTGCGGGAAGTAGGAGAGCCGGAACTTGCTGTGGCGGATGGTAGACTGTCAGGCTGTGGCCCCATGCAATGGCTGCCCACCACCACCACTCCTCCCCAGGTGGGCACTACCTGAAGCCCGGGGTGCCGTCCGGGCCAGCGTCCGGCAGTTGCACTGTGTAGTCCAGTGTCACCATGTGGGCTTTGTTGTTCACCGTCAGCACCGACGTCTTGATGTCCTTGGTCAGTTCGCTCTAGTGGCAGTGGTAGGCTGTGTTAGCTTCTGCAACGCCAGGGCCCAGGGCCCCAGTATCCCCGCCCCGGAACCCACCTTGTAGTAGATGTTCTTCCCTGCAGGGGCACACCCTGTGCTGAGGATGTGGTCATAGTTTCGATGATCAATGACCAGCAGGCCACCTGGCCGCACCATGCTTGCAATGTTCCTTAGCGCCAGCCGATGCTCACTCTGGTCACCTGGGCTCCAGTGAGGGTAAAGGCTCAGTCACCAACCTCCTGCCCACATCTCCCTCCAGGGCCAGGAAGGAGAGTGTTCTATCTAGAAAGCAGGCACCAAGGCCATACCACTCACCTGTCCTGTCTGGCAAGTGGGCAAAACTGTTCCCAAGGCAGATGACGGCATCAAAGCCGACCCCTTCCGGCCGGGGCACGTCTTTATCTAGAGTCATCCAGTTGGCTTCTTCAATGACTGGGGGACAGGAAGGAGAAGAGACAAAGGATCATAGGAATCATAGCATCTAGAGGCCAGAAGCTGTCAGCTCCTCAAGGGCATTTCTTCAGAACACTGGGCTCCCATCAGCTGAGGGGACCTTTAGGAACACGGAAGGAGGGTTTTTTTTTTTTTTTTTTTTTTTTTTTTTTGTCTTTTTCCTTTTTATCGGTACCAGGGATCGAACTCATGACTGCCTACTTTTTTTTTTTTTTTTTCCTTTTTCCCAGTACCAGGGATCGAACTCACAACCGCCTGCTTGCAAGGCAGGTACTTATGCCGCTGAGCTAAATCTCCAGCCCATGACTGCCTACTTTCAAGGCAGGCGCTTATGCCACTGAGCTAAATTCCCCAGCCCCGAGGGCTTTATTCTTAAGGGTCACGATTGGGAAGGGGAATTACAACAAACACGAGTTTGTGACCTCTCCAAGCTGGGCATGGTGATGGACACTGTCTGGATTTAGCCAGTGTGAGGGCCCTAGGTTCAGAGTACCAAAACAAAATCTCACTCTTCAAATCCACTAGTCCCAGTCAGTCAAGAGGCCGCATCAGGGGAATGCCGAGCCCAGGAATTCACAATGGGCGGGGGCAGCCAGCAAGATAGCTCTCAAGCACTGGGCAGGTGTGGTGGTGCATGCCTATAATCCCTGTATTCTTGGGAAGCTGAGACAGGACTGCCTTGCATGAAACCCAGCGTGGGTCCCTTAGTGAGATCCTGTTTTGAAGACGACTAGGTATGAAAGTCTTAGGTTCAGGCCCTAGAACTGAAAATTAAATTTGGCTCTTGATCCCTGGTACCTCTGTTGAGACCCAAGTTCCCTTCAGGGAAATGACAGTAATGTGGCTCAGGCCAGAGAAGGCAACCTGGGTGGAGGGCTTTCCCCGGAGGGACAGACATACCCCACTTGTCGAAGGCTGGCTCTCGCCGTCGGGTCCAGCGCTCTTTCAGCGCGTACTTCAGCATCTTGTCACTGGCATCCACACTGGTCACGCTGAAGCCCTCTTCCACCAGCATGATGGAGTCCACACTGGGGGAAGGGCAGCATGATTGGAGAGGGGTAGGCTGCCATGGGGCACCTCTGCGTCCTCCCTGACTGCAGGGGACCTCACACATCTGTTCCTCACCACCACCACGTTCTTTCCTTCACACTTCAGAGTCAGAAATTGATGTTTGAGGCACCCCTGTAAGGGGTAGGGAAGGCTCTGGGGAGCGCTGAGGGGTAGTTAGTAGCCCCTGGTGGACCCTCACATGTCTCCCATCTCCAGGAGCCAGGGTTCCGAGCTTGTGTGGAAGCTCCTGGCATGCTGCTCTGCCTGTGTAAATGTTGATCTTGGCACCACCCAAGGCCATTTCAGAGGGACAGTGGTGGAGCCCGGCATCTGCTGGCCTCTAGCTCGGAACTCGGCACCTGGCCCAGGTCCCCAGCTGTAGTCCTGCTGCCCGTTTCTCACCCTGTGCCGCAGGCCACGTCCAACACTCGCTGGCATCCATGCTGGCGCAGCAACCCCAGTAGCCACGTTTTGTACTCAGCCGTGCGGCTGCGGGTGTCCCCGATGTACAGCTGCCACACGCGTGCGGCCTCCCCATCTGCATACTGGTCCGGGAGCCCCTCAGCTGCTACCCCGAGGGAGCGGGTGCGGTACACGCTGTCCACCATCGTGTGTGCTGTCAACACAGGGCTGCCTGCATTTTTATCTGTGGCCCATGCCACACCTGGCCAATGGCAGTGGAGTGCAGAGACACGCCCCCACATGGCTGTGCTCAGCCATGCCTGCACTGCCCTGGACCTAACCCTGGCTCCCACCTTGCTTAACCCCAGCACTGCCAAAAGGTGGAGTGAGGCTGGTCAGTCGTCCCCTCCTCCCCACTGGAGTTGAGAAGGGAAGCAAACGTCAAAATCCACACAGACCTGATCCCCTGGGTGGGCAGGACTGGACCATGCCCAGTACTGACAGAGCCCTGGCCTTAGGAGCCACTACCCATACGAAGACGGATGCCATTTACGAAGACCTCGCATCAGGCTTTGTGAATTCAGGCCTGCTGGCCTGGTGTGGTACATGCTTGGCATCTCAAGGAGCAGGGGGTGGGGGGGCAAGGCCAGTCTGGATTGTGCTGCAAAATATGAAAGAGCTGGGGTGCAGCTCTGTGGTGATGTGCCTCTAGATTTGACCCCTATACTCTAGCTCTGTGAAGAAAAACTGGGATTCAATGGCGGTACCTATACTGGTCCTGAAGAAATAGGGCCCCTGGAGCCAAGGAGTTGGAGGCCAGCCTGAGGGAGGCAGAAAGATGCCCCATCTCTGAAAAGCAAACAGCCCCATTGCACACTAAAGACCATCTGCTGCTGCTGGCCCATGCCTGTAACCCCAGCATTGTGGGAAGCTGGAGCAGGCAAGTTCAAGCCCAGCCTGGACAACTTAGCAAGACTGTCTGAAGGCACTAGGCTTAAGCTCCATGGAGACACTCTAGGTCCCACCTCCAAAACCACTTAAATCATCTGCCTCTGCAAGGACAAGTTTGGAGGAAGCACTTTAGGGCCCTTCCTGTTACAATGTTCTTGGTCTTCAGATTCACCTCCTAAAATAGCTGGAAGATGTCACCAAGCAAGTCCAAGATCTGCAGAAAAGCCTTCACCACCTTCCTCCATGCTTCTAAAACTAAAGGAACCTCTCCTCCCCTAACCGTTCTACCTCTGCAGTGGCCCAGAGCTAGAGGATGACTGGGAATGATGTGATGCTCTGGACGTTGTCTTCCTAGCACACAGGTGGTCTCAGACCGATGTGGACAGGTGATGTTAGGCACACAAGCTGAGTGTGGTGACATACACCTATTGTCCCTGGAGGCTGAGGCAGGAGGATTGAAAGTCCAAGGCCAACCTAGGGAACTTGGTGAAACCCTGCCTCAAAAGGGCTGGGGTGTAGCTCAATGATAAAAGAGTGCTTTGCTAACATGCATGAGGCTCTGGACTCCCATCTCTAGCTCTACAAGGAAAAAAAAAAAGTGTGTGAGGGAGGTTTGTTCATGTGTGAGTCCTGCAGTGTTGCACAACTGCTGTGAAAGCTTGGATAACACAGGACTCCACATGTATGGGGCTGCCATTCACACTGCAGAGCTCATGATGGGGCTGGATATTTATAATGGTAGTTTTCTGACTAGTATTCGATCATATGTCTCATTCTAACAAAATTTACATTAAAACGATACTGAGAAAGGATTGCAAGTGTGAACCAGCTAGGTAAACCAAAACAGAGAAACCATTTTTTAAAAAAAGTTTTTTTAAAAAGGCCAAGTAGATAACTCAGGCCCTGGATTCAGTGTCAGTATGGCCCAGTGGTGCTGCATGGAAAATCCACACAACCAACTGGAGACAGGAGGCAGATTCCAGGAGCTGCCTTGAGTGAAGCCCTGAGATTATGCTGTCTGTTCCTGTGGTTCTTCACCTATAGTTATTTTGCAGAACTGAAGTCTAAACCACCTGAGGCAGTGACCACTGAACTCCACTCCCAGCCTCGTGCATGGTTCTCCTCACTGAGCCATTGGAAGGCAGCTTGTGCTTTGTCCCAGAGCTCGTGGTGTGGCTAATAGGAGCATGCAAAGATGGTCCAATCTGGGGTCCGAGAGGCTGCTTCTGAGGACAAGACCCTGATCCACAGGAGCTCTGCCTCTCCGGACAGTGGGGTGTCTTGAGGTCTGGGGTGCAACTCAGCAGTGAATACACGCCTGGTACGCACAGCCCAGGGTTCCATACCCAGTGCCGCAGAGTCAAGTAACAGAAGGGAGAGAGGGCTGTGAGGTCCAAAGGCGGCAGCCTGTGGCAGTGGCCACCTAATAAGCTTTCCAGGTGCCTCGTTCCTAGGTAAGGCAAGGAAGTCTTATTCTAACAGGTTTCTGAAACGGGACTGAGACCTGGTTAACTTGAGCTCTGGATGACTGCCTAAATGCACAGGGGTGCAACAGCAGGGTGCAAGGCCCAGATTCAGAAAGCCGTCTACTCCAGGAGGCAGGACCTACTGCCACCTTTCCCTAACAGGCCGGATGGGGGCTGGTTAATGCCACGAGCTTGCCCCAGCACAGGGCAGAATCCCTGCTGCAGCCACAGGTCAAAGAGCAAGCAGACCCAATACCGCCACCCTCAGGGATAGGACTACGATTGGGTACCAGGGCCAACTCCCCAGAAGCCGATAGGGCTTCAGGAATCAGTGAGGCTCTGGGACAGAGGTAAGCCAGGCACCCATATGCTGTGGGGTAGTAACAGAACAGGAACTCAGGGAACTGGCTACAAAACCCAGGCCAGAGAGCTATAAACTGACTCCTGATCCTGGGTCCCAGCTTCTGTGCCCAACTGGAGGTGGAGGTGGGGGCTGGACCACAAGTCCCAGCCTCAGTAGAGGCAAAGCTATCTTAGCTCCTCTCCACCTTCCTGCCTGAGAGGGGCCACTCCCTGGCCTGGCAGTTCTGCACCTTTAGCCTAGGGAAGAAGGGGTGGAGGGGTGTTCATCTGGTGGAGCATGACCTCCCTGTTCTCAGCTTCCACGCAAGGTCACTTCCTGTCTGCCATTCTGACAGCCTGGGACCAAGCCAGGTCTGGTGTGCACTAAGTACGCTCTCTGCCTGCCCCGGCCTAGCTGTTCCTTAACTGAAGCTCTTGCTGGTGTGGGCCAGGCCAAAGCCACCCAACCAGATGGATGACACTGTCAGGTCAGGAGCAGAGGCAGGGCCCTGGGGGCTGGCGAAGAGGAAAGACTTGGCATTTGGGTCTGAATCCCAGTTATGACATAGACCCCACCTCTCACATGAGTAGTCAGGGTTCAAATTAATACCACTAATTTCCAGGTGTGGCAGTGCACACCTTAATCCCAGCACGAGAGAGGCTGAGTCAGGAGGACCCCAGTGAGTTCAAAGCCAGTCTGAACTACATAGTAAGACCCCGTCTCAAAAAACAAAACAAAACCAAACCACCTCCGCCACCAAGGCCCTGCCCCAGCCCAGGACAGCTTGGGAGCACCTCCCCATCACCCCACCACCTACAGAACACAGGGTAACCAGGTGTTGCTGGGGACAGGGTATCCTCTCCTCCAGACTCCAGGAGAGGGATCACATGTGGTCAGGGAACAAGGTCCAACAGTGGCAGGGCAGATGGAGGTTGGGTGACCAGAAAACTACACGCCTTGAGGAAGGTGTAGAGACAAAGAGGGCAAGAGGTGGTGACCAGGACACAGTGCCTGGGTCATAGCACAAGGAGCACACAGAAGCAGAGGGTAAGGGCAGCTGCCACCCTGGCCCAGGAGGTGGGACAAGGTCCCTGTACCTCCACACGCCTTGCACCAAGAAGCCCCAGGTACTCCCTGCACTGCCACTTGATGGGACCGTGAGGAGCAAGATACCCACAGGCGCTGCAGGGTCTCTGGAGAAGGATGCAGGAGCCACAACAAAAAGGCCAATGGGTCTTTACTCTGAGCCCCCGGAGGGGTGGACAGAGGGCTGAGGGTACTCTTGGGGTGCACGGTAGGGAGGAGGAGGCTGTGCGTCCTCCTAGGGCTCTGCACTTCTCTTGTCTGGTTCCAGCAGCTGCCCCTGTCCCTTTTGACACACAATGGGTCCTACAAGTCCCAATCCTGTGGCCACCTGAAGCCTGGGCCAGGAGGGGAACCATGGCTGCTGCGCGCCTGTCCTGGTCCTGAGCCATGAGGTCTCCGGCTCAGAGCATCACGCCAGTCTTCCATCTCGAGGTTGCTCAGAGCTCATCAGGGGGGCTGTGTGGGAGTGGTGACGCCTTCTGGATGCCCCCTTCCTCCTCGTCCTCGGCACCGGGGTCTCCCTCGACCCCCCGGAGCTCCTTCCTCTGCTGGCTGCTGCCACTGGTTGTCTTGGCCTGGCTACCCTTCTTCTTGGCCTTCTTCCCTCCTAGGGTGGCTGTGTCGCCCTTCTTGCCAGACCATTGCTCTGCCAGGCAGCCTGGAGGCGGGCAGGAGAAGTTGGCAGCATCAGAAGGGTGGCTGCAGCCCAGGTACCGAGGTGGGACCTTTTTGTCCCCGCCCACAGCCCTGTGGAGGACTCACTGGTATCCTTGCCCTTCAGTACGTGGTTGGTACACAGGAATTCAGTGAGGTCCTCCTCCTGATGGTTCCGGTACCAGTCCTCGATCACCTCCTCGAACTCCTCCACCAGCACATCACACTGTGGGCCACGACATCGGGCTGGCACAGCCTCAGTTCCTGCCTCACTCCCCAGAGCTCCCCAAGCCTCATGACTATATGACACGCAGGTGGCTGGGATTCATCCTCAGCCAACAAGGTGCCTGGCCAGGGTCACCAGCTCCTTCCCTCCCCCATACCTGTTTCTTGAGGTCGGCCACCTCAGCGGAGGTCTCATTCCATAGCTCGTAGGGGATGTCCATCACCACCTTGACGCCCTTGTGCACCAGGCTGTGTAGCGTCTCAAAGGTCTCCGACATGCCCTGGGGGCCGCAAAGCTGTGGTCACTCACAGTGCGACACCATGGCTGTCCGCTATCCCGCAGCCCTCCCCACCCTTTCAGGAGGGTCAGCTGTTGCTCTCAGGCTTGGCGTTCAGCTACCTCCCCAGGCTTTCTTTTTCCTTCTAGGACAGGATCCCATGCCCTATGTTGCCCAGGCGCATGCCTGCCATCCTCTAGCCTCAGCCTCCCAGAATGCAGGGACTACAGGACGCAATGCCACACCATCTGCCCTCAGGCCTTTTAAACTCAGACTCCCTTTCCAGGAAAGAAGTTTGTCTTCGACTCTCCTTCACCATGCTGGGCACAGCCTGCTCTGGGTTCTTCCTGGTGGGAAGAGGGCACAGCCAACGCAGGACCCTTTATTCTGTGAAAACTGTCACTGGGCAGAGTTAAGGCAATTATCTGTCTTCTTTACTTTCCCAAAGTCACACATGTGCAAACATGAAGGGGCTGGGCCGAAGCCCGGGGCTTACAGCAGCTGTCCAACAAGAGTGAGACCCTGGGCTCTGTACCCAGCACCATACAAAAAATTAAAACCGTAAGCACAGCCTCACCACCCATGTACACAGGTGTGGCGTGGCACACGTGTGGCTCTGCACTTTGCCTGTTTGCCCAGCACCACGCCAGGGAGAAGCTGAGCTCCTGGGCAGCTCCAGCTCAGACCGGTTCTCAGGGTATCAACCTGCCCCAACTAGGAGGAAGTTTGTTCCTAACTGTTTGCTACAGAACACAACTGTAAATAGTGTTTATTAAAACAAACACTGTGTTTGTGTCCCCGGGGGCCGGGGACACAGCTCAGTGGCACAGCACCTGCCTGGCAAGCGTGAGGTGATGAGTTTGATTCCTGGTACCAAAAGGAAGAAAAAAAGGTTAAACAAACATGAGTTCATGAGCTAAAGTCAGGTAACTTTCTATTTTTCTGTATTGGGGACTGAACCCAGGGCCTTCACACTGAGCTATATCCACAGGCCCCTTTCTTTGTATTTTTAAAATTTTGAGTCAAAGTCTAAGTTGCTAAGTTTCCCATGCTGAGCTTCAACTTGAGATCCTCCTGCTTCTGCCTCCCAAAGTGTGGGGCTTCCTGATGTCTACAACCACACCTGGCTACCAGAAGGGATTTTAGGGCAGCAGGACAGCCTGTTTGAAGCAGCTTCTCTCCAGGGACAAACGTTTGTGAGCACACAGAGTGCATTCCGTGTGACACAGGTGTCAGGGTGGGGTTGAGGAAGGTATTGTGTGGGTCTGGGGACGTGACAATGGATGCCCCACAGTGACTTCTGAATCCGAGTTCCACACATCAGCACTTTGCTGGCTTCAGCTTGCACAAGGGTTTCAGGCCCCTGTGAGCACTGCCACATGAGGATCTGTTTATGTCTGATGAGAGAAGAGACCCTGACAGGAGGCCCTGGGTGTTATGAATGTGCCTGTTAACACTGACTATGAGACCACTCAAAAGGGGAGGTGTGCAATCAGCAATCCAAAAGTGGGCTGATGCAGGAGGGTTCCTAGGATGCCTAGTGATCACACCCACAATGGCAGGCTTGTGCACAGAAATACACACACACACACACACACACACACACACACACACACACAGCCTGGGCGAGAGTGTGGCAGGGCCTACCTTGGCAAAGCGATTGCTGCCGGCCCTCTCCTTGTGCAGGCTATAGTCCAGAAGCCGCTTGCAGATGGTCTCGGTGACCTCGATTAACCGCAAGTCCCTGCCGAGACAGCAGCAGAGAGGTGCTGAGTCCCCTCCTGGGGCCCAGCGCATTCCTCCAGCCCTGCTGCCCGGCACCCGCGCGGCTGGCTCACCGACGACGGGATGGCAGAGCTGGAAGGGAGATAGGTCATCGGGCCTGGGGCCTCGGGAGGCTGGAACATAGACCAGAGAGACAGCATGGTCACAGCTCGGGGACTCTGGGCCTCCCTCAGCCCAGCACCCACTCTGGCACTGAGCCAAACCCTGGCCAATCTGTTCGTTCAGCCACTTTTTGCTCAACTGGAGTAATAAAACTCAGGGCCTTGTCTATGCGAAGCAAGTACTCTTCTTCAAGTTCTTATTAATTTTTTTTAAAGGATAAAAGGATTATTAGAGACAGAGCCATAGGATGCACTCAGGAACAGAGTGCAAATCTCAGAGAAACAAGGCAGCTTTTATTTATTTTTTTGAGACAGGGTCTTACTAGGTATTCCAAGCTGGCCTCGAACTTAGAGCCGTCCTGCCTCAGCCTCCTAAGTGCCACCACATTCAGCTTTTGATTTTTCAATAAAGCACAACATCAAATTTTCATGAGAAAACTGTGTTTTGAAAGAATATTATGGGGGCTGGGGATTTAGCTCAGGGGCATAAGCGCTTGACTTGCAAGCAGGCAGTTGTGAGTTCCATCCCTGGTACCGATAAAAAGACAAAAAAAAAAAAAGCATGTTATGGCTGACACTGTTTTTGATTCTAATATCTTTTGCTGGCAAGTCACACTGATAGTTATACGCATTTTCTCTTCTAGCAGAGGACTGGTGCAAACAAGTTAAGGAATCAAGAAGGGCAAGGCCAGGGCAGATCTGCTCTCGGCGTGAGGGCCCCACCTCCCAGGCCAGGCAGGTCAGAAGGACAGAGAGTGGATGGCCAGGCCCCGCCCCCATCACCAACCCAGGGTGGGCCCGGGGCCCTGAACCTGTGCACTTACGACTTGGTGTATCTGACGCCGGCAGCCTTGCGGTCCAGGATGCCATAGCCCGTGCCAATCACCTCCTTCGTCTTGCCTGTTTCCTCAAACGCTGACTTCAGCTCCACAGCGACATATTTGCACACTGTTGTGGGGAACACATGATCCCCCCAGCTCTGAGTGCGCAGGCACCTGACGGGAGGCCAGCGCCCAGCAAGACAACCCAGGTGGGCCGCCCTCCCATCCTGGCCGGGGCACTGCGCTGCTCGAGGTGGGCAGGACTCAGTGCCACCCGAGGGCCCTTACACCCCTCATTGCTTTTAAAAACTTCACATGCAGCCAAGGTGGTGACACACGCCTGTGATCCCAGCCTTCAGATGGCTGAACCTGGAGGATCACTGAGAGTTCGAGGCCAGTCTGGCCTACCTTGGCAAGTTCAAAGCCAGCCTAAACTACATAGTGAGACGCTGCAACGAAGAAAAACTAAATCACACATTTCATTCCCAGCACCACAAGGGAAAAAAGAGGGCTCGACTGCGGCTCAGTAGCAGCATCCTTGCCTGGGACTCATGAGCTGTGGGTTCAAATCCCTATTCCATAAACAAAATGAAACAAAATAAACTTGCTATGTTTTTTTTAGCCCACACCAAAAGGAGAGTACTGTAATTAGTTGGCTATAAAGTGATTGGCCTCAGATTTATATCTGTTAACCAAACAGACCTGTTACTACAATTTAATTCTGCCACTGGTGGCTCTCCATAAACTCATGGCCAGGCCAGGCAACTCGGGCAGACCCTCTCTCAAAATAAAAAAGGCTGGACATGTGAGTCAGCGCTGATCAACCCCCAATAACACACAAAAACAGCTGCAAACAGGACCTTTTACCCTGACCTAGGTCAGCACGTACCTTTCTTGTACCTCCCAAGAACAGGCACTTTCTCCATAACAAAACCATTACAAAACCTGGAAAACTACCAGTCACCCCTTGTCACCCAGCTGTCCCTATTAAAATTTCCCTAACTCTCCCCTCAAATGTCCTTTATGACTGTATTTGTTTGGTTTTGGTTTCTTGAGACAAGATCTTGCTATGTAATTCAGGCTGGTCTTGAACTCATGGCAATCCCCCTGCCTCAGCCTCCAGAATGCTAGACCACCAGCCCGTGCCACTATCCTCAGCTTTTTTATGGTGGTTTCATTGCCTGATTTCATGGGTTTCCTGCCATGCGAATGGGTGGCATCCCCGGAAGAGGCACTGCCCAGCTGTCTGGACCCTTTCTGTCTCATCTCCTTCCCTGCCTCAGTCATTACACAACTCCTGGGTGGCAGGCCCCACTGGGGTCAGACAGAAACAAGGTTCCCTCTTTCCACGACCCTGAGCCTCAAAGGGGACACAGCAGTGTAGACCATCACCGCACTGATGCTGCCAGACTCTGCTACTCATTCTCCTAAGAGACCTCTGACCTAAGAAACCTCTGCACCGCCAAGAGCCCTCCGATACCAATCCCACCCACTCTCATCTCACAGCCCCTTGCCCTCCCTAAGGGGCTCAGCTGTTTCATGAGTCTCTCCTTAGACTGTAAGAGCCACCAGTGTCCCACTGTCCTGGGCTGTTCCTGTGTCTTTGGTCTGAGTCTCTACACAGGGTCGGCTGGGGCACTATAGCCCACAGTGATGCTTACAGCTGAGCAGCAGCTAAGGCCCTGGAATGAATTTAGTGCAGGCCAAATGCCATCTGCAACACTGACCACGCTGGCAGCAGAATGTGGCACAAAACCAGTTACCACAAACATACAGAGAAGTGTGCTCAAAATATATGGTGAATGTTGAAATTTTAAGTATTTATTACAGTTGCTGAGAATGGAGACACAGGCCTGTGATCCTAGCACTCAGGAGGCTGAGACAGGAGGACCAAGGCTGGAGGATCACTGGGCTACAAAGTGAGTTCAAGATCAGCCGACATGGTGAGACCTTGTATTAAAAAAAAGAGGGGTGGGCTGGGGGTTTAGCTCAATGGCGTAAGCGCTGCCTGGCAAGTGTGAGGTTGTGCGTTTGATCCCAGGTACAAAAAAAAAAAAAAAAAAAAAAATCACAGTGTAAAGCACGTTGCCATGAATCCCCTCAAATCGCCCCCCCTTGGAACACAATCATCTTGTCATGCTCGCCACTTTCTGCAGCAGCTCTAGATTGCTCTTTCCTGAGTGTCTTCATGATGTGACGAAAAAATACAGTAACTGCTCCAGCCCAGTGCCATCCACCAGAAAGGCAGGCTGGGAAAAACATGGTCCTGTGTCCTTACCTACCTCAGTCACCGGATCTGGCACTGTGTGACTCCTGGGTTTCCACAAAGTCAAAAGGACCATGGAAGAGGGACATTTTGAATCAATTCAGGGCATCGAGACATCCAGGGCAGCACAAATACAAATACGCACAAAAGAGGACTCCAGAGCTGCTGCAGAAAGTGGCAAGACAAGGGGATTAGTGTGTTCAAAGCCAAGAAGATGCTGAGGGGGACATGGCAATGTCTTACTGCAATAAAATTTTAAATGCAAAAATAATTTTATTTTTATTTATTTGGTACAGGGGATCGAACTCACGCTTGCCAGGCAGGCACTTGTGCCTGCTGAGCTAAATCCCCAGCCCTAGTAAAAAAAACTTTATATGCAAATGCTCACCGAGTATTGCAGTGCCCATGCCTTAAAGGTTTGCTTGATGAAATTCTGTCCCAAGCACACAGGTTGATGGCTTGTGGGACTCTGAACACACAAACACTTCAAGTTCTAAGCTGTGACCTCAGGGTCTAGGGTGCACTAAGGACACCCCCTACCTCGGCTCTCCCTCCTGGCCTGCACTCCAGGATGCTCCAGATTTCCTTGTCTGCTGCCCTCCGCCTCCACCCACTTTTCCCATGCTCTCCATGTATAGTGTTCCAAGGCGGGAAATACTGAGGCCTGGGACACTCTCTATTCTACCCATGAGCCACAACCTTGCTTCCAACTCTTCCAGACATTGCCTCTGGAGAGCTCGCCCAGAAGCACACCCGGAACTCATGGCACAGACCCCAGACCCTAGACCCATCTCCTGTTCCTTTCTGGGCAGCTTTTCCTTGCTCCGGCCAGGATCTGTTCCCACCTGGCTAGAGAGCCTGAAGGCAGTCTTTGCGGGCGACTCCATCAGCATTTAATAACAAAGGTGCAGTAATGACAGTAAGTACAATATTAAGAGCAGCGTATGGGCTGGCGTTTGACAAGCCGTTCTGTAACTGGAAATCCCCTATAAATTAATCTTTAGCAATTACAAAATGAGGTTAGGCTAGAAAGATCTCTAAGATCTTTGCCAGCTCTGGGCTTCTGGATGTGTGGATGTCTCTGAAGCCAAAGAAACAGGAGCCACTTAGGCTGTGACAATCCTAAGCGGAACAGTGGGGGTTCTTTGGTATCAGAGTAAATCAGAAAGCGAAGGAAAGAGAAAGGAAAACATCACACAGGACTAGAGGAAGAGGGGCTGAAAGCCCCCGACCGGCAAGACCCTCACAGAGTACTATGAAGTCTGGGGTGGCTGGAACAGCTTACTCTTCATCATGCAAATGGAAGGATTATGTGCTCCAAACCACTCACTGCACGTCCAGAGCTTAGGGAACATCTGGCCCAGTGCAGGCTTTGAATTAAGATGAACCAGATTCACAGCCAACTTTCTGGGGGGCCTGGGGCAAGGGGGCAGAAAAGAAAGGGAAGACTGGAAAGGTCAGAGGAGAAAACTGAGAACTGGAGGGAGACCCTTCACAGTCTGGCCAGCTCTCGACACACCTGCTTCATCTTCTTGTCTGTTTTTGATTTTTGAGACAGGGTCTCATTGTATAGTTCAGGTTGACAGCAAACTCACTGCAATCCTCCTGCTTCAGCCTCTTGAATGCTGCGATTCAGATGCCGGCTCCTGCTTCCGCTTGTTTTGGGGACTACCTTTTCTCAGTACTCCTAAAATCTTCCTCCATTACCCACTGTCGCCAAGCTCTGTGCCAATTCCAAAATGTCCCTCTTAAGGCCTAGGACCCTCCTCCTCCGTCCACACCCCCGCGACCCCCTATTTCCTGTTATAAACAGGAACGACGCCTGGGTGCCTACCAGAGGCTGAGCATCTGAGGCCAAGTCTCGGTCCACAGGAGCTGTTAGAGGGGGCCACGGCACACTGCACAGCGGGAAGGGAAGCAAAGGCAGTCTCGGCTGCCGCTTCCCCGTTTCAGTTCCTCAGACTCGCCGGGGCTGCCAACCCAAGCCTGCCTTCCTCTGGGCGCCCCTCTCCCCACTCATCCTCACCTGCATACTTTCACCACCCTGCAGGCTCAGGCACGTTTTCCTGATGCCCCCGCACCCCAACTCCAGGAGGGATCCGCTACTCCCTCCAGCCCCGAGTCCTGCGCCTCCCTTGTCATGGGACCCCTGGCATCCCAGTGCCCAGCACCCAGCCCAGCACCCACCCTAGCACCCAGTGGGTCCAAGCACTCGGCCCAGCCTGTATCTTAGCCCCGCCCCAGCCCCGCCCCCTCACCTTCGCATTTGCTGGGCAGCCGGACCCAGTCGGTCTCCTCTGCCCGCGCCTGGCGTGGGCCCAGCTCCGGGGCTGGCAGCAGCAGCAGCAGTAAAGGGAGAAGCGGAAGACAGCGGGGCGCGAGCTCGATCAGCGATTCCATGGCCCAGGCGGACCCGACTCGCGCCGACCGGGAGCCGCTTCCTCCCGCGACGCGCGCCCAGCAGCTTCCCCGCGCCGCTTCCGGGACTGCGCACGTGCCCCGGCGTAACCACGGCAACCACTAGCCCCACCCCCTTCCCTTTGGGGCCTCAGGCTGCCTTCCTAACGGACGGACGATGCAGCCAATGAGATTTCTCGGGGTTTGTCTTCTAGTCAATACCAAGACGAGTCTTTCTCGGTTTTGGTCAATAAGAAAGCAGACGGTGGCTTCAGGGACTTACGGCTACATTTTTCCCACTCCCTAACGGAGGCTGTTGGAGAGGCTAGAGGACCAGGACCCAGGCACCCCCACGTCTGGCCCTGCGTGGACCGTGGACCGTTTGGGCGCGCTGGACACGGAGGGTGTGGAGAAGACTTTGTCTACGGTTCTCTCCTGCTTTTTCCTTCCTTCCTAGGGTCCTAAAAGCCTCACAGAACTCTTGCTCGAGACATTTCTGAGTAAATAGATGCATCTAGAGACCACACTCTATAATAAAAGTGGAACAAATCGGACATGTACATACCGCAGTTTCTCTGGTGTAAGAAATCGAAAGTGTAAATAAGGATCAAAATGTATAATAGGTATTGGGAACTGGGAAGAAAATGTTCAAACGGGGAGCGGAAAAGGAAAAAGAGAAAAGTTTTTTTTGAAAAATGGAAACAACGCTTTTGTAAGTATGGAGGGAAATGGGAGGAAAAAGAAGATATATCATGTATAGATACAAATTATTTGTGATGAATGTGATCATTCTGTATATCAAAAATGTAACCAATAAAATCAGATTGGAAAAATATTGTTATCGCAGTCACTCTAGTTGTCACCTTGCTGGGGGACATCAGTGCCTAGTGACCCTGCGTTTGCCCTCGTGGGAAATTCATAACTTCCTCCCCAGCACAGTTCCTGACCACAGGAGGTCCACCTGGTTGCTATGCGACACAGGCTGCTTGTGGTTGGAGCACTGGGGAAATTAAAGCTTATGGAGCAGATGGTAAAATGCTCAGGCATTTTCTTTGCAGAATGTAAGCTCATCCCCCTTCACTGTCCTATTTATGTTTTGGAATCTGAGCTCCCAGAAGGCAGGAGGCTGGCAGATGTGCAATTGTCCCTTCCTTCTGCCTCCCAGCAGCAGCTACTCAGCTGGTTCCAGGACAGAGAGCAGGTCCCCTCTCTGTGTCATCGAGAGGGCTCAGGTGGTTCCCAGGCTCAGTTCCATGGTCACACATAGACCAGACTGCTGCTCTGGGAAGTCTTCTGCAAACTGTACTTTTGCCCATAAAGCAAAAATGTTCCCCACTTCCTTGTTTCCTCCCTCAGGAGGTGGCTATTCTGTCGATTTAGGAAGACACAGGTGGACTGAGGCCCAGGCCTTTATCATTTTCTGGTCGAAGTATTGGTCCCAGTTACCCTGGGAAGGCAGGGCTGACTCAGGAAGAGTCTGCAGCACCCAAACAGGTCACTTCCAAGGCCCAGGGAGACAAAAAGGATGGACAAAAAGCCTCAGAGAAGACATTCACTGAGGCACAATAAATTTGCTGGAGGCCAAGAACTCAGAGTTAGGCCTGAATGGCAGAAGGGACCATAGTCCAGGAAGTACAGCCACAGCTGCCCCTGTCCCCCCTAGCCTGCACCATGTCGGGGAGCAGCAGGCCCATGGGGTAGGGGAGGCTCTGGCCCAGAAACCGTAGGGCCCCCTTGACCCTTAACTCTGAAGACTACAGAGAGGCAGGAAAAGTCTGCAAGGGTCATCAAGAGAGGACATGCCAACTCAGGGAAGCTGGTGTCACTTCCACCAAGCAGGGGACAGTGAGGCATACTTCCTGCCTCACATGACCATTAGACTGTCCTGCAGTGCCCAGAGGATACTGAGAGAATCCCTGGGGAGAGGCTGCATTTCCAGGCAGCTCTGAGGACATGGGACACACAGATCAGATGTCACTGTGCGAACTTCATAATCCATCAATGCAACAATCTTCATTACAGCCAAGTGCTCTGGCGCACACCTGCAGTCCCATCACCTGGGGAGCTGAGGCAAGAGGATCACCACAAGCATGGGCTACATAGTGAGTTCAAGGCCAGCTTGAGTGAGCTTGTCTCAAAAATAAATAGGGGCTGGGGATTTAGCTCAGCGGCATAAGCGCCTGCCTTGCAAGCAGGCAGTCGTGAGTTCGATTCCTGGTACTGATAAAAACGAAAAAAGACAAAACAAAACAAAAAAAATAAAGAAATAAGAGCTAAGTATGGTGGTACAGGCCTGTAATTCCAGTCTCTAGGAGGCTGAGGCAAGAGGGTTGCAAATTGAAGTCTGCTCACCACCCTGAGCAGACTGGTGATTTAGCAAGACCCTATCTTAAACTTAAAAATAAATTTTAAAAATTTTTAAAAAAGATCTGGGCTTTCAGCTTGGTGTAAAGGCCCTACGTTCAATCCTCAGCACTAAACAGAACAACATAACACAACCTCAAAAATCAAAACCTCTTTAGGAAACACAGCAAAACCAAAGCAAACCAGTCTCTTTATTGTCTGGATCGAAGTTGATGCTTGATGAATATTTGTCAAGTGAATAAAGGCCCTGGTTTGATTAACAGTGCACAGATGTGGCATCACTGCCTGGTACTCTGAGCCTTGGGCTGAACCTGTTTCCCAGCTCCAGGTCCTGTTCCTTCCATTGAGTGCAGACCCAACTCGAGCCCAGCACCCTCCCCAGGCTCTTGGTTCCCCGCCTGCTCTTCACAACTTGGGTCAGATCAGGGAGGCCTGGCCAAGCACCTGACTGTGGGAAGACAGAGATCGGCAGCTTCTTCTGGCCTGAGCCCTTCCCTGCATCTCCAGCTTCTTGTGCTTAGGAAGCTACCTCCTCCAGGGAGCCCCCCCAGAGTCCTGTGCCTCTAACTCTGCCCAATTCCTGCTCTGCCTCACACAATTAAATATTGACCATTTAAAATTATGTTTAAGCATATTTTCTTTTTTCTTTTTTGTACTAGGGATGGAACTCATGGTATTTTCATTTTCTTATGTCATGTAGATTCTTTAATTGTGCTCAATTCTCTGCCCCTGGAATCCCCGGGGCCTGGGCAGATCCAAGCTAACCAGGACTCTTAATGTGAAGAGCAGATACAGTTTTCATCTTCCCGAAGCCCTCAGTCTGAAGGAGGAGGCAGACTCAGTCCCAGGAAACTCAGTCAACTGGAGGAGGCAGGTCACATATTACAAAATGCTCAGAGCTGGGTGATGTGGTGGTGCACATCTGCAATCCCAGTACTAGAGGCTGAGGCAGGAAGATTGCAAGTTCAAGGCCAGTCTGTCGTACTTAGCAAGAACCTGAATCCAAATTTTAAACAAAGCTCTTAGTCTTGGGAAAGAAATCCCAAGGGTGTCCTGAGCAGCGGGCTGGGCCCTATGGGCAGAGTGGGTCCCCTTCTGACCTGGGTGGCAGGTGCCCCTTCAGGAGTCCCTTGGTCACTGCAGCCCGGCGCCAGGATGGTAGCTGCCAGTGCCTGCAGGAGGCCAAGGCAGGCGGGTGCAGGTCAGGAGCACATCGCCGAGCAGCAGCTTGAAGAGCAGCAGCCTCAGGGCCGCCAGCCACAGGCCCTGGGCCTGGTACCCTGCACAGGAAGGAGCAGGGAGGACTGGAAGAGCAGCTGGGGCCCTCCTCTGCCGTGGCCTTGAATGACTTCTCTGTCCCCTCCACCCGGGGGCCCTTGCTGGTGTCCTCGGAGGGCCTTCCCTGCACTCATGGGAAGGATTAGCATCTGACACCCACCGTAACCAGCCCAGACTTCTTTATTTGCTCAAGAAACAAACTCCACAGCACTATGGGAGGCTGAGGCAGGAGGACTGCAAATTCCTTTTCTTTTTTTTTTCTTTTTCTTTTCTTTCTTTTTTTTTTTTTTTGGTGCTGGGGATTGAACTCACGACCTCGCACTTGCCAGGCAGGCGCTGATGCCACTGAGCTAAATCCCCAGCCCAAATATAGAAATATTTTAAGAGGCTGGGGATGTTAGTGCTACTCCGCTTTCGCTCGCCTGTGCTGGATGAGGCTGGGGAGAGAGGACCCACCCCCTCATCTGATCCTAGGGGAGACTGAGGCCCTGCCCTGGGTCGGGATCCTGGGACCCAGCAGCAGGTTCCTGCTCCAGCCGTGGTCCCGGCCCACTCTGGCTCCCAGCCGGGCCCTGGTACTCACCACCCGGAGGCTCCTGGACGCAGGTCCCAGCGCGAGGGGCTGCTCCTGCCGGCCAAGGGGAGGGAGGTGGGTCAGTGCCCGGGAGCCGGGGCCAGGCGCCCCACCCGGCGTGCCAGGCGGGGTGTGGGCTCCCAGGGCACCGGATGCCCGCGAGGACCCGCCCCCCCGCTGCTCCCCCACCCCGGCGCGCGGCTCAGCGGCGCCCCCACCTGCCAGCCGGAGGGGCTGCGTGCTGCGGCGCGGGCTCCCGGGCCCGGGCTCCGCGTGGCACACCAGGGACTCCCAGGCTGCCGAGTCCTCTGCGGGCAGGGACAGCTGGGCCAGCGCGGTCCAGGTGCCGTCAGTGCCCGGAGCCGGGCCGTAGGTGAAGGCGTCCAGGGCGCTGCCGTTGCCGGCGGAGAACCAGACGGGGCTGTCCGGGCCGGGGGCCGCGACGTCCAGGACCAGGCAGACCACCAGCGTGCGCCGCTGCCCGGCCACCAGCAGCGTCACCGGCGGGGCCAGGGACGGGAAGGCGGCGGTGACCGCACCTGCAGGGGTGCACACAGCGTCGCCGCCGGCTCAGCACGCCTCCCTCAGCCGCACCTCAAGTGGGCAAGGGCTCCTGTCTGTCTTTCTATCTGTCCTCCATCGCCATCCACTCACCCATCCCTTGCTTCTTTGATCCTCTATCTTCCATCGTCTATCCATTCTTCCTACCTCCACCTGTGCATAACGTCTCTCCATCCTGTCTGTCCACCCATCTGTCTTGTGTTTTATTTTGTTTTTGTCTTTTTGAGAAAGGATCTCACTATGCAGTTCAGGCCTTGGGCTCACTTTGTAGCCCAGGTTGATCTCGAACTTGCAATGATCCTCCTGCCTCAGCCTCCCCAGTGCTGGGATTACAGGAGTGTGCCAAAACGCCTTGGTTTTTGAGACAAGGTCTTGCTATATAGCCCAGGTTGGTCTCAGACTTGTGGTGATCCTCCTGCTTCAGTCTCCTAAAGCCAGGATTACAAACATGTGCCTGGCTGCATTTGTCCGTCCTTCTGTCCACCTGTCTATATTCTCCAAGCTCCTTTCTATGCCATGTACTGGGAACATAACAAGACATGGTCGCTGTCCTTGAGGACCCCAGTTGTGTGGGAGAGACAGCAGGTGTGTGAACAAAGCTCATAATACCGTGTGCTGGTGGCCTGGGGACAGCAGTCACTTGTGGAGAGGAAGGATAGGAGGCAGGTCCTGGAATCAGAGCAAAAATATCAAACACATCAGTGACTTTTCTTCTCTGAAAACAGATCTGATTCAAACATGACCAGACGCTGACATTTGTCAGTCTGGGTGGAGCACACAGGAGCCTGTGCTCTTCCTCCCAGTTCTTCCTTCCGGGACTGTGTTTTCAGGGTGTGCTGATTCTGTATGGGGTGCGTGTGGTGCCAGGGATGGGACCCAAGGCCTTGGGAGTGCAACATGGCTTTCAGCCACTGACCCATTTTTTTTTTTTTTTTTTGTCTCTATCGGTACCAGGGATCGAACCCACGACCACACACTTGCAAGGCATGTGCTTATGCCACTGAGCTAAATCCCCATCCCCCCACTGACCCCTTTTAAAAGGTGGTTTTGTTTGTACCTGAGCCACACCCCACACAATTCACCCAAAGTTGAGATCTAATGTCTCATAATTTAAAAATAAAAGTCATACAGCACTGACGGTTTTCAGAGCAGTCCTGTGTTTTCAGTCTTATTCTTTTCAGTGAAGATGACATGTCTAAGACATAACGAAACGTTATATTTGGAATATCTGGATTTTTGAACCATCTACAAATTCGCAGCCTGAGTTCTGCACAGCCAGGCTGAGGACCTGCTCAGGACACTGGGAACTGTGGGGAGGTGGTGATGGGGACCTCTCAGAGACTGAGGGGCACATAGCCAAGCTAGGACCACGGCGGGGAGGTGGCCAGTGAGGGTTTGGACTCTGTGACTCTGGATCCCACGGGCCTTCCCTGGAAGCCTGCCTGTGACTCTGCCTTGGGTTCTACTGATGAAACTAAGGACGTGGCTCCTGAAAGGGCTGGGACTCAGGGGTGCCCTCTGTCCCTCGATAGCTCAGTTAGCAACACCAGCCCCATAGAACTACTTTTGAAAAGTCCATAAATACCAAATGCCTTGGCAGGTAAGTTTCAGTATTATTTATTTTTCCTTCCTTTTTTTTTTTTTGTAGTTTTGGGGATTGAATGCAGGACAAGTGCTTTCCTGCTGAGCTACATTCTCTCCGAACTCCTGCCTTTTTTTTCAGATGGGGTCTTAGAATGTTGCCCAGACTGGCCTCAGTATCATGATCCTCCTGTTTCAGCCTCCCTGGAACCTTGGGTTATGGGCCCACGCCATGCCTCAAACTATGTTCTTGATATTACTGTCACTAAGGCAAAGAATGGAAATAGAAAGCTAGGAGTGAGGCCTGGACCTCCAGCTTCCTGAGCCTCTTCAGCTGTACAGAAAGAGCCGAGAGCTGCCTCTCCGCCTCTGTGCAGCCCGCCAGGATTGCGTTTCCTCACCCTAGCTTCTTCCTTGCTGCATCTCAGGCCTCTTGCTTTGGGCTTGACCCAGCCCATCTGTGCCACCAAGAGGGTATTTGGGACACACCTCAGGCCAGCTGGGATCAAGGAGATCCCATGAATCTGGTTGCAATGGCACATACCTAAAATTCCAGTACTCTGGGAGGCTGAGCCAGGAGGATCACAAGTTTGAGCTCACTTGGGCAATTTAGCAAAAATCTTGTCTCAAAGTAGAAGAGAAAAGGAAGCCAGGCATGGTGACATACGCCTGTGATCCCAGCACTTGAGGGGGCTGAGGCAGGGTTACTGCAAGTTTGAGACCAGCTTGGGTTCCATAATGAGTTCAAAGCCAGCCTGAACTACACAGGGAGACCCTGCTCAAACAAACAAACCAGAAAATAAATATAAAGTGAAAAAGAAAAGGAAGCCAAGTGTGGTGATATACCCCTGCAATCCCGATATGTAGGAGGCTGAGGCAGGAGGACTGCTGAGGTTGAGGCCAACCCGGGCTACACAGTGAGTTTAAGGACAGCCTGAACTACACTATGAGACCTTGTCTCAAAAAAGTGGTGGAGGAGGCTGGAGACATAGCTCAATGTGAAGGCTCTAGGTTCAGTCCTTAGTACCAAATAAATAGGTAAATAAATAAATTTACTAATTCATGAACATGACCCCTAAAAAGAAGAGGGGGGCTGAGGAGTTAGCTCAGTGGCATAAGCGCCTGCCTTGCAAGTGCACAGTCATGAGTTCCATCCCTGTTACCAAAAAAAAAGAAAAAAAGAAAGAGAAAGAGAGAGAGAGAGAGAGAGAGAGAGAGAGAGAAAGAAAGAAAGAAAGAAAATGACCCCTGACTCAGAGGTCAAGCATGTCCCCTGCAACACACACACACACACACACACACACACACACACACACACACACACAGCTGCTCACACTCCCTGGGACGCTGGAGCTCTGTGGCCTGGCCTTGACCTTGAGAGACTGATTATCACCCTGGCAAGGTACTGAGGTCTGGGGACCCCGACTGGGCCACGGGGCCAAGGAAGCAAGAAGTGGCCTTGAGATTCCCAGCCCCTTGGCCCCGGCTCCCCGGGAGCAGTGCTGACAGCCAGGACCACTGCGTCCTGCTCCCACTGCTCAGATCACCTACCACAGCCAGGCTGCCTCTGCCCCACCCTGCCCCCACCTCTGTGAATTCGGGTCTGTCCCAGTGCCCCGCTTTGCACAGTGGTGCCAAGGCTGCCTGGCCACTGGGACTGCTGCAGGGCAGGTGCCCTGGACGGAGAAGAGGGCGGGCACCTGGTGAGCCCGATCCCAGGGATCTTGCTCTGTGCCTCTGCACCCTGCCTGTACCCGGGGAGGCCCAGAAAGCACCAAGAGGACTCAAGGGAGCTCACCTGTGGGCAGAGCTGGACACCCGAGAGCCAGGAGAAGCAGCAGCCCTGTCCCCGCCATGCCCCACGGGAGGCGGCTGGGCACAGGTGGAGGCGCAGCCTGCAAGGAGCCACCCACAGCCAGCTGCGCCCCAGCTGCTTGCCACCAGCCGTTTCCCACCCCCAACCTATCGCAGCCCAGCCAGACCCCTCCCAGGGGCCAGGGGCAGGCCTCCCACACGGAGAGCAGAGTGCTCCCCTTCTGAAGAGCAGCTCAGAGGGTGAGGCCTGCCGGGCCCCTGCCAGCTGCTGGTCTCAGATCAGTTCTGCATCCACCCGCCCCCAATACCGCGCCTCGTTCCATAGGTGACAACCCAGGGTCCCTAAGGTGCAACAGGCAGGGGACAGTGCCAGGGCTCAGATCCCTCCTGGATGGTGCCTTACAGTCAGAGAAGGACTCAGGAAACTTCCTGCTGCGGGGTTCTAAGCCCCGTTTAACCTTTCTTTTTTGTGGCATTAGAAATTGAACCCAAGTCCTTTACACTGAGCTACACCCCCAGTTCCCCTACTGTCCCTCCCCGCCCTTTGCCCTTTTTTTTCTTTCAAACAAGGTCTCATTACATTACTGAACTGCTAAGGCTGAGCTAGAACTTGTGATCCTCCTGCCTCAATCTCTTGAGTGCTAGGCTTACAGGTGTAACCACCATGCCCAGCTTCAACCCCCTTTTTAAAATAAAGTTGTTAGCCAGGCATGGTGGCACATGCCTGTAATTCAAGTACTTGGGAGGCTGAGGCGGGAGGTCATGATTTCAAGGCCCACCCTGGGCTATGATGATGATGATGATTTCAGAGCCAGCCTGGTGAGACACACTTTTTCCCCAAGAGCTCATCACTTGTTTACTGAGTAACCCTTCCTGACCCGTTACTGCTGAGCCCTTCCTTACTGCATGGAGTCTTTTATACGGACAGACTTGTTTCTCCCCGGCTTCCAGAGCTGCTTACTCCAGTGTCAGCCTCATCCCTAGCCCCAGGCACTTTGCTCCCCCTCATTGCTCCCCCTCACGGCGCCTGGAGGCTGTGGGCTCCCCGAGTTCCCAGGCTACCAAGGCCAGGTGCGCAGCCACGGGGACCCGCAGGGAGGGGAGGCAGGTGTCCTAACGACTCTTGTGGGACCACATCACAGATGGGAAGGCCCTCTGGCCGCCCAGGGTCTCAGGTCCTTCTTTGGACAGCAAGGCCAGGCTCTGTACCCAGCTGCCTGGTGCTCAGTGATGTGTCCAGCTCCACCCTGCCCAGCCTGGGTGCTTCGAGCTTGCTTGCTGTCTTTTTTTTCTTTCTTTTTTTTTTTTTTAAAGTATTGGGGGTTGGGGGCTGGGGATTTAGCTCAGTGGCATAAGCACCTGCCTTGCAAGCAGGCGGTCCTGAGTTCGATCCCTGGTACCGATAAAAAGGAAAAAGACCAAAAAAAAAAAAGTATTGGGGGTTGAACCCAGAGCTTCTGCACTGAACTACATTCTGGTCCCTTATTCTTTGTTATTATTTTCAGACAGGGTCTTGCTAAATTACTAAGTCCCCGAGGCTGGGCTGGAACTTGCTACCCTGCCTCAGCCTCCTAGAGTGCAGGGATTGCAGGACTTGGAGGCATTCCAGGCCTGCCTGGGAAATGTCCCTCTGTCCTAAGGTTCCTAGAGAGCCCTCCCCTGAGCTCTGGTCTCAAGGCCTGGGCACTGCATCTCCCCTCCCCAAAACTATACCCTTATTCACCCGAGATA